CCGGGGCGTGACCATATATCCCCCTATAGATCCCCCCCAACCTGCTCACGTCAGTGCGGGGAGGCTGTCGGGCTCCTGAGCCGCCGCCATCAGCTTCTGCAGTCCACCCTGCCCAAGGTCTCAGGGTTGTTTTGGAGTTTAGAGTTTAGGGTTNNTAGGGTTTAGGTTTAGGGGTTGAAGTAGAATTCAGGCATTGGGGCGCAGTTAGAGTTTTGAGGGTTGGAGTTTTTCGTGCTGAGGATTTAAGAGCTGTAAGCGGTTCTACCAAACCGTGATAGTGGAATTCGTTCTGTAGCTCGCGTAAGAAGTAGCACGCATATTAGTCCTGAATAGGTGCTAATGCTACTTCCCTTGGTCCTCAGATGGCTTCCCGCCTACATCAAGCATAGCTCTCAGTTTCAGTCAGTTTGGCACCTGTGCTTCATCGGCTGCAACCATACTAGCTTCGAGAACCTGCGTAGCAACTGCGCGACAGATACCAGAAAAATGGTTTCCCAAAATCGCCATAGAAAATAGGCTTGCGCTATCTGATGGCACCTGAGGGATGCCAATATTAGGAAATTCTGCTTGAAAGTGCAGGCATGCAAGGCACGACAAGCTGTCCGTGACCAACTGAACATCTAAAGTGTTGGAAACCTGAACCCTAAACCGCCTAAACCCTTTTCCACAAACCCTCAAAAACCTACAAACATCCAGAACACGAGTGGTCATCCTGAAGGACAAAGAATCCACCCATATCCCTGAAATCTACTTAGCGCTCGACTTAAGGATGCCCATTGCTTGGGCGCGATCTAAACCATTTGAATAGGGTGGGTAGGGATTCAGTCGTCAGCCTAAGCTTCCACCAAAGTTGTGTATCATAGTAGAGCGTAAAGACTCAACAGTAGATTGTGCTAAAGTGTGCAAAGCGTGCGGTGCCATGCGCGAAAGCGAGCGTACGCACTAAATCAATTACGAAGCGCCCCACCGGCCAGACAAGTGAATGCAACGGCTCTCTGGTCGTCATGAAAAAATGATCTCCACCCACAAGCCCCCATGTATAACCCAGGTGCCTGGAGGTTCCAGGCTTGCACCCCTGCGTTGCGCAGCGAGTGCCTGAGTCTTAGATTGGAACTGCAATGGTTTGGGTGTAGGGTTTAGGGATA